ACTCCCGTCGCAGGATTCAAAGTCCTGAGTGCTAACCACTACACCACGAGACCGATACGTTTGGCAAAAAATTTATTGATGTTCATTTTCATATTTTTGCAAATACAAAAAGTTCACAAAAAGCTTCTTTCTCTTGTTCGGTTGATACCTGTCAGTGAACAGAATACTCTAAACAAACGAACAATACACGAAACTAATAGATAGGCAGTGTGTAACTAGGCTTCTAAAATATACAATTTATATAAAATTATGCAAATTGATAAAATATTCTGTATAAATATAATCCTAGAAGAGAAACACAATTCATGCATTCATTGTGAATTTTCTATTATTTGGACGAAAGGTTGGATATTCATTACAGCTAAGAGTACTCCAATTACCTTCTATTTCTTCTCTAATCAACTTTCATTCGTAAAAATTTTGAACTAAATAATATTTTGCAAAAATATTAAATCATACTGAAAATTTTCAGTGCCATATTACCATTCAAACATCATATTATTAACTTATACAATATAATATTTCTGCTACAACTTTTATATTATCTGTTTTGTTAATCAATACCTAACTTTGTCACTTTTTATCATATCCCATAGTCAATATGCTAATTTTGTTTAATATATTTCAAATAAATGATACATATAATCAGCTTTTCCTTGCCAAAGTTACAGTAAGAATTTTAATATGCAAATCTGCCTGACAAACTTATCAATTTGAATAATTCATTAAAAACGACTTATTCTTGCATACTTATATGAATATGCATAATAATAATGCTTCCAATCTATAATCCGCTTGTGATTCTTAATTCTTGATGAAAGTCGAAAAAAAACATTTGCAATATGTTGTCCCTCAGATTTAGCCAAATACTTGAAAAAAACAAACAATAATTGTAAATTTGTAAAATTGGTAATTATTGCTTTTGAGAAGAAAAAAAAAGCTGAAACTATGCAAATCTGGTAATTACTGTTATCAAGCAGACAATAAAAGCTTAATCAGTATTATTTTTGTTGCAAATTTATTTTACTTTCATTATTCAAATATTTTAATCATTTTAAAAATTTAATATTGTTATTCTTTTATATGAGAAAAGAAGCGACGTGAAGTAATCCTGACTGAGGTTGGCATCACTAGTCAGGACAGGTTGACAGCAGTCGAGACCGAGAAAAAGAGAAAATATGACCTACTTGCTAGTAAGCCTGGGTCAGAGATAAACTGAAGGACCAAAATAATTCCGTATGTGATGACGTGGGATGGGATAGTGACGAACTTCCACAAACGCTATGCGAAGGAGGTTAATATATGAGACCACGTCGAGGCATACGATAGTTCTCAAGAAGACGCTCGAAAGCATCTCCTTCGACAGTCAACATGGATTCCACGAGGACGAAGTGAGAACGATGAGTACAACAAATCTGAGCGCGGGACAAGTACTGCCAGAGTGCCGCAATACGATCCAGAGGCAGAACTAATAAAGCGAAAATTAAAACTAACCTCCACATTTTATTTATTTATTCTTTTATATTGAAAATGATAACATACCAATTTTACTGAATTATTTGAATGGCTATAATAAAATATTATTGTATTTTTCGCCTTTAAAACTATATATTTGCAGCTCTTTTTTTCCAATAACTTAATTGCAAATTTGGTTCAGTGCATTGTAGTAGTATATAGCAATTATTAAAATACATAAATAATCACAAAAATAAACAAAAATAGTAAAGTTCCTTTGCACATTCAATTATTTGAATAAAATGAAATTTTAAAAACTTTGTATGAATTTTTTTGCAGGTCAAAAGTCGCTATGAAAATAAACATCTCAAATGGCTAGTGTGAATATGTATAATGCAAAGATAGAATGATATTTTTGTGAATGAACATTACATTTTCATAAACCAAATGCTTTCTACACACGTCTGCGTTATTAATAAATTCTGAAAAGTAATTTGTTGCAAAATGCAAAAACAAAAATTATAAATTATTTTTTTAAAATTGTTGTTAAGTGAATGCTTGTAATTTTTGAAACATTCTATTCTTACAGTATTATTAAAGTTAGATACAGTTCTATTTTATAACACTGTTATCTAACTTTGGTTGAAAATGTCGGATAGTCACATGTACAATGCCTTACCCAAAATGTTATGATCTACTCGTAAAAATCAATCAACAAGTAAAGTAAAGTGAATAAGTGAGTAATTAATCTAAAGTAAAAATAATATTTAATTTGATCTATGATTTAAAAAATCTTCATCACTAATTGCAAAATCAGAGAATTTTTTTATTAATGAATATTGTTGAATTAGTAGGCAGTAACTATTGAAAGTTTTCATCAATATTTAGGATGTACCATCTGATCAGTGATTCTTGATCGTAATCCTCTTATAATAACAGATCAAAAGTTATAACCACAAAACCTTACTGACTATAATAGTTGCATTATTTTCAGATAAATATTTGCATACTTTTCATTGTTAAAATATTATTTTAGAAATAATGATGATTTAAAAAAAGTTTTTTAGAAACTGTGTTTAGTGTTGTTTTTATTTGTATTTATTACTCTTACAGTATTTCATTTCTTTGCTGATAATACCGTATCGATATTTGTTTGTAATTTTTTTAAAATTTAATTGAAATAAATTATAATCAGCCCCGATAATGATTTTAATTAGAAACTCTGTAAAACAGACATTTTTTCAAAGTTTGTAAATTAATGAGTAATCATATGTTTTTGATCCTTCCATCAATATTACACATTGTATTTGATATTTTATAAAATTAAAATTTTGGAATTTCTTGTTTAATTTTATTATTTAAATTAATTATCATTTTTGGTAGCAACTTAAATATTAATAAAAAATATCCAAAATACTGAATTCTTTCATGTTTTTCTAGTAAATTATGGTATTTTGCATAATAAACACCAATACGCAATTAGGTACCGAATGATGCAGTTATATTATTAATTGTTACTATTATAAATATCATTATTGTTATTATTAATATTACATGTGCATCAGGTCGGGAGGTTAATCATCTTTGTTGTATGATTCTCGTGTTGGGTCATGTTCCAGCCTGACTGTACACGCCGGGCACTCAGTTCTGCTGATTCCGGTTCACGGAGTTTTTTTCAACAACCTCCACCTGTTTTACATTTGTTTCCATTTATGATTTTTTTCCGTTTATCCTCCATTTCTTGCTTTTTACTTTGTCATGCGATCGACTAGCTAACAGCTCAACCGTTCGGTAATTCGGCAGAGTCGAACAATATTTTATTATTAATATTATTTATTATTATTACTGTTGTTCTTGTTATGATTATTATTAATTATTATTATTATTTTGTCTTAATATTTATTATTATCACTTATATTATTACTCTGTATTTAAAAGATGTATACTTCTGTTGAAATTTGCTTTGTTGACGAAAAATGATAAATGCAATATTAGTGAGCTTTTATCATTGCAAGTAAGCCAATCCGATTAATTCTGCTTGTTGTTCTGTTTTTTATTTCAAAAGTATAAACCTGATTATTTCTATGACTAATTTTTTAATCCCACATAGCAATCAGATGCAACAATTTATTGATATGACTAATAAATGCGTTATTACTTACTTCATTTGCATTCTCTCTCTCACCTTACGACCTCTTTCATTTATTTATTTGACATTTATTCATTCCTTTAATTAATTAATTAATTAATTAAAATTATTTTCATCTTCAATATTTTTTCTGATTTTGAACAAAGATTCTTGAATTCTGATCTGACTGATTTTTATTAACCCTTACATGGAATTCTGAAAAGTAACAATCTCTACCAAAAATTTCTATTTAAGTTCATTAAAAATAATTAACTGAAGTATCATTTTTTTATCTGGTATTTTTTGTTCGGTGTATAAAAGCTTCAATGATACATACCCAAATCCTGTTTTCACGCATATTCTATAAACATCTGTTTGCGAACGTGCATAATTTTTAATTTCTTGTAATTTATTTCAGTCTCGTTTTTTTTTGCTGAAACTTACCTCCAAAATATCATTAATTATTAATTTTAATTTTCACTGAGGTGATTGTTTTGTATACTAATTCAAAAATTTCTCAAATTAAATTCCAAACTACTAATTAAAAAAGTAAAGTCATTGCATTAATTGAAGTAAAAGTAAAATAACGTTGTCATTGCATTTATCAGCTACATTATTGCAGTATCAATACGATTATGCAAAAAACTTTGATTAGTTTTTGTTTTTTGTTTTTTAAATATTAAAACTTAATCTCTTTCTCAGTCGATCACTTTCTGATTATCAAATTCAGCCCAAATGCTTTATTATATTGAATAATGCACTGCACATATGATTGTATTTATATAAGTTGAAAAATCGACTCACGATTTTTTTTCAAACAACCAAAATTAATAATGTATTTTGAGAATGCCAAGTTAAAAACTCAGGTCTTCTTATACTAATTTTAAATTATTAAATTTCCAGTAATATTAGGTTATTTGAAAAAGTAAACAATAATAACTTCCACTCAAAATTACAAAATTCATCTAAGAGAAATTTGACTCTTTAGAGTAAAGGAATAATAAGCTTTTAAATAGCTAATTTTATAAGTGATTTAATTTGCAAAAGTTTTATTTTAAGAGACTAACGTAAGTGATCAGTGAGAAAAAAAACTTTTTTCACTTAGAAGCGCTGAATTCTCAATTCATATTCTATAAAAGGTGTATTTGTATGTCGCGCGAAACGTAAAAGGAAGACATATTAGTGCATACGTGTGTAGTACTTCGATATTATTTTACAAGATATTAGTGGATATAATGTACTGGCTAACAGGTCTTTAATTCTGAATAATTAATAGCTGAATATGCTAAGAATTATTCTCATATTATACTGAAAAATTATAAAAATTTGCAGCGCAGTGCTATTTAAAATCTTTTCAGACGTTTCACGGCTAAAGTCGAGAGTTATCCGAGAATAAATACAATTCATGTCGAATTCAGACTACAAACCAGTTTTCACGGCAGCACCAAGTCAGCCAGGGTTTCAGTGGTACGAAAAACAAAATCCTCCTCTTGATGCAAATAATTTTTTGAAGATGGGGTCAAAGGTTACATGTCAGCTAGAAATGTCAGATTTTTTAAATCCAGCAGTGAGTAATACGAGCATAGAAAGCTTAAAATCTGCAACTAAGAGTAATGCTCAATCAGTCTTCTGCAGTAATTTTCAACCCTTTAAGGAGCCTTCAGCATCAAATCACGCCTTGAAGTCCAAAATAACGTCATCAGAAAGCTCAGAAACTACTGCTACTAAAATGTTTCAAGCGAAAATTGCAAGAAATGGGGATACAGAAAGCACAAGCAGACATAATAGCTTGAATGCAAAAAATGAATCAAGCATAAATGATGAAGAAGTATTAGTTGTGCATGATTCGAGCATACAGAATGCGGAGCAAAAATGTTTTTCACCAGTAACTTCGTCAACTATGAGTAGCACTACACAGCCTGACAATGAACTTGTCGAATTAAAGGCCAAAATAGACTTTTTATACTCAAAAATAAACGAAATACAACAAAGAAATGAAAATGTAATACATCGGAGGGAGATATCTGAAAATCAAACAGATAATACGAGTCTGAATGATAATTCATTAAAAATAAATATTCGAGCAGATTATGATAGTACTAAACATGGCAATATCGTCATTGCTAATTCTCCACTACCTAAATCAGTTACAGCAAATTTAGAGCAAAGTGAAGAATCGCAGAAGCAACTATACGATAGCTCAATTACTTCATCTGTTTCTAGTCAATCAATATTATCTACTGAAACTAATGGATCAAAATTGGGAAGCAACAAAAAATTATGGAATATTCAATCGTCATCAACTGATAATAAGTCTGTAAAATCAACGAAAAATTTTAAGAACACAAATTCGATGATTGGTGTTGGAGCAGATGGAGGTATTATAATGATTAATGATTCTTCACAAGAAATTCTAAATAAAGAAACAAGGGTAAACGAATGGAGTACAACAAATAAAACCAATAATAATTTGAATACACCTGTGCCAGTGAAGGATCAAAATGAGAGTACGTCAGGATCTATCACAGAAGATTTGAATTTAAAATTAAACATAATTATAGATGAAAACCATAAAAAAGGTTTGAAATTTTTAACAACTCGTCAGAAAAGAAATCATATCAAAGGTGGTACAATACAAAACGAAAAACAATCAATAATAGGAATAAAACGAATTCAAGATTTTCGCGATGCCATATATCCTCAATCTTTGCCTATTTGTAATAATCGAAATATTATTTACCAAGATAGACCACAACTTTCTTTTCCATCAAATACTCAACATCCATTTATACAACCACCATATCCATTTCAGGGATATTTACAACCAAGATCTGGTTTCAATATTCCTATTCAATATGAGCCTATTTTTTTATTTCCTAAAATTCCTGTTTCGATGGAGCATTATCCATGTTTTGCCAATTCATATCAAGGATATGAACATTTGAATGGAGTACAATACTTGCCAGCAAATTCACCACATAAATATAATATTCATAAACAATTTGTGCCCTCAGCAACTAATCTCATGTCAGCTTTTCGACATTGTTCAACTTCATTACCTAATACTCAAATACCTGCAAACACTATTTGTGCTCCTGTATGCGACCCTGACATTCAACAAAACTCACATAATACTTTGGTTATTCAGCATCCTGAAAACAAGTTTGTTTTTTAAGTACTTTTGAAAAATAAAAAAAATTATTAGCAAAGATATAGTTAATGAGAGGCATTCAAATCAAACTTCTGATTGCAAAAGTATTACAATCACTTTACACTGAAACCAAACCATAATTTTTTTTACCACATACTCTATTATGCTTCCACAGTTAATTTTGAATTACTACGAATTAACTCTTTATAAGCGCAATGTTCTTAAATTATTAGACTATATATAGAATTAGACTTTTAAAGCTATTATTATACTTTTAGGATAAATTTCAAAGCTTGCAGTAATATTGAACTTAGTATATGCAGTTCAAGCCATTTCAAAGACTTTAATTTTGAAGTGAAGTTTTTACTAGTGTCATACATTTCAGATCACAACTGCTAATTGAAAAACGACGGAAACTACAAGAAAGTGTACAAGCAATGGCTTCTAATGAAAATGCAGAATATTTCTCGTCACTTCCTGACAAAATAAATAATGTAGAAGCTGACAAAAGTTTGTTAAACTTACAGCATTGTTTATAAACATCATTTAAACGCACAAACCCGCTTTCTAATTAACTTTTGAAAAAACTCACTAGTTCGTACTACCAATTTTATATCATAGCATCAAACACTTTGAAAGCATACGGCTTTATTCGCAACTAAATACGGCAGTACTGCTACCTATAACATTAGGAATCTTGAATTGATTCCAAAGTGTTTCACTTCTTATACTTTTATTACGCAGCACTTTTTTGATATCTATAAATTTAAGAGAATATGATTCCTCAAATGCTAGTTTTATAATCATTGCAAGCTTTCAGATTAGAAACTTAAGTATGGATTGAAATCATCAGCACACAAAAAATATGGCTAATTTTGTGGACCAATCCTGAAAATGAGTTCTGCTTATGTTAACATATTGCAATAAAAATCAACATAGGTGGAAGCGGTATTCCCATCCCATCTATCAGAAAAATTGAAGTCACTCATACAATATTTTAATCTCTTCAGTTACCTGACGAACCCATATTATTTTAACGACCAACGCCCCATAACTCGATGGAAGGTAGTCGAAAAGTGCTGCAATAGTATAATTGAAATTGTTTAAATTAAACTCCATTTTCTACACAAATGAAGATGGATGAACTCTCATTATATCTAGAATTATTGCCTGCTTAAAAAAATTACTTCTTCCTTATCTTTGTATTTGATTCTACCTCTTGGTTATTGAAAGAGTGAGTGAATTTTTTGTGAACTCCAGCAAACTTTGAAAAAATTTTATCAAGTAACCAAATAAAGCAATAAAGCATGCGAACATTTCGAAAGAGAGTTCATGTGAAACTGATGACATAATTGCTTTTAAGATTCTGATTTCGTTGAATTATCACAATAAGGATAGGATCAAGAAAGAAAGAAAATTTAAATGTAGTCCAGAAATAAAATATTATAAATGACTTTAAATGTAAGTGGTAAAGGCTTTGACGATTAAAACAGCAGCTGCAAACTAGTATTTTACTTATGAAAATCATTAAACTATTAAACATTCGAATAAGCAGGTCTATTCCCAAACATAGAAGGTAAGAAGAAAAATATGCAGAATGAACAGTGTTCATAATACATATTTCAAGAACAAACTTTACTCATTCGAACGTTTTTTTGGTAGTTTATCCAAAAAATTTGGATCTTTCAATTCTTCTTCCAACACATCCGAACCTCCAACCAGTTCACCATACAAATAAAGCTGCGGATATGTTGGCAGTTTGCTATATTCTTTCAATTCCTGTTCGATCTGGTAAAGAATAACAGTTATAAACAAACAGTTATAAACAATGGATTCAATTACACACTTTAAAAAAGGCAATAGGTTCTGTCTCGAAACTGTGCGAGACTTTAAGACTACTTTAAAACACTGAACAAAGGACTGAAGTAATAAATTGCAGCAAAATGTGTAATTTCTGATATAATTAGTTGCTCTGTACAAAATTTAGAAAATACAGGAATACAGGAAGGAACGGTTTACATATAAGCTATATAATGAACTGGAGCGAAATTTACGAACTACGAATAAAAAAATTAGTTCAGTCGAAACGGAAAATACATTTTTTACATAACATCTAATTAAGAGTTCAGAAATTTTCGAAAAAATAAACAAGAAAAAAAGCTTACTTTTTCATCTTCTAAAATGTCGAAAGTTGAATAATCAGCATTGATCGAAGACAACAACTCAATGATTGATTTGCTAACCTCTAAAAACCAAACAAAATTGAAACCGCCATCAATTTTTGGTTAAATCACCTGACAGATAGCTAGAGAAATTCAGAAACTGACAGACAGCGAAAGAAATCCAGAAACTTACGACACTGAGATGCTTCAGGTCTTCCTTTCATGAAAAGCATTAAAGGTGCCTGAGTAATCAATTCCTTCAATCGGTTACTCGAACTCTGAAATATTTGATGGTATTTAAGAAAAATTATAGAATTTGCAAGTAAATAACAAAGAAAATACTTGAAAAATATTTATCAAAATTTTAGAGATAGATTTAGTCTTCAAACTTGCCTGCATTTTCGGCAACCTGTTCCGAAAAAGTGGATTTTTCAACTCTTCTTTGACAATATCTAGGCCACCAATAAGTTCTCCATTTAAATATAGCTGTGGATATGAGGGCCAATTACTGTACCGTTTCAATTTCTGTCTCACCTACAGCTTTTTAGTTAAAAATGTGCACATTGTACTTTTGCAACATATTACCCTTAAACATAAATCAAAACATTATTAGGAAAAACAAAATACTAGACTAAATTTTATGTTTTAATGAAATCTATGACCTTACCTCCTCATCTTTCAATACATCAAAAGTAGAAAAGTCAGCATTAATTCCACGCAAAAGAATAACAATTTGCTTACTAAATCCTGAAATATTTAAAACAATTTACTAACAAACTCCAAATTAATTACATCTGAAACAATACTACTACTGGAAATCTTAAACAAATTTGAAGCCATCATGAATTCCATATGACGAACCACATTTTGGGCTATCTGGCGTCCCTTTCATAAAAAGCATGAGAGGTGCTTGGTTGATAAGTGATTTAAGCCTTTCATCTATATTCTGAAAAAAGCGATTGTAGTTAAGTCTCCCATCCAGATTCTGAAATGAAAAATGACTCACAACTTTAAAATTCTGATAGTAAGATGACTACATACGACCAAAAAAATCCGACATTGGATTAATTTCAATTTAACGACGCATATGACAAAAGGATGAATATTATCAAACACCAATATATTAACAAAATTAACACATCTTACGTCATTAACTGATCTTCTTGTCATGTTAGCAACGCCTTCAACAAAATTGTGCTCTATGATTTTCATTTTTAAATCTCCCGGATCAAAGCCTCGCACTCGGTCAATTTCCTTTCCTGCCTGCAATAAGTTAATCGGTGAAGGAAATGAACTAGAAATTTGAAGGGAACTGCATTAGTGTAGCAGATGCGTGGCTCAGTATAAAATCCATATTGCAAAACAAAAAAAAGGGGAAATTAGAGACCTGAAACTGATGCATTCAAATGTGTCATGTTCCTATGCAAATGATAAACACTTTGTTTGGATTCATGAACTTCAATTCAGTTATCGGAGAATTCCAAAAAAAAATTCGACTTTAATTAAACATGAAAAGAAAACTAACAAAATACAATAAAAGTATTGCAATAAAATTTTAAAGAGATAACCAAAAGGAAATTTATTAAATAAGGGAGACTTTGAAAATGATGACAGTCGGTGCTGCATCGACTTTGTAGGCAGACGAAAGTTCAGCCAGCTCTTCGGCTTCAACAGCAGCAAAGTCAAAGCATCCTAATTCATCTTTCAGCTCTAGCATCAGATTATCCAGATGCTCACACATTTCCAACCATTTTGCTTTGAAATAGACCAAGCAATAGCTGAATCAAAAATTAGAACGTAAGAATCGCATATATAATCTTATTTCTAACACGAAACAAAAAGAATCTTTGAAAATACTATATTAGTTCTAAGCTAATTTATTTCGTATAATATATCGGTGCTTAAAATAAATGCTTCAAAATTTAATAAAAAAGTGAACGGATGGAATTTTACATTTTTCATAAATTACCTAATTTTATATAGTTTTTGAGCACTATTTTGTAAATCTAAACAATATAAACAAAATTTATGAGAATAAATTAAAACCAACTTAGTGGTATTGATGAACTGATCGAATTCTTCGTTGCTTCTCAGCAGTTTTCCCATTGCTAAAACTTCACTTTAATTTGAAAAAAGAATTATCTTCTGGTAGAAACGATTTGTAAAATAAAAATAAAAAATGAAGAGAGAAAATTAAATAGAAAGGAAAGTGACTGTTATATTTTCAGTATATCTAATAATGTAACATGTTCAAGAATTAGCTGCAAGTTAAATTAGCCAAGCTTTGGAATGCTTTCCAAGATCTACTGACTTAATTAGTGACGATTACGTACTATGAGAAAAAACAAGTGACGCAATCCTACACATCAGGACCATGGATTAATGACTTTTTCACCCCATCATCCTGTAAATTACTTTCGCTACATATATTCATCTCTTCCTTCTCTTCCTCTCTACTCTTTACACATTGCTTTGTTATCGTTTTGAAAGCCTCAAATGTGATTTAAATTTAAAATATGTAAGTTTTCTTGAAACAGCCTGATAATTAGAAATAGCTACCCTGCTTTAACTTATAACTTTAACTTATAGCTCTAACTAGCTTTAGCTTTAACTTATAACCTTATGGTACTGTAGGGTATTCTTATCAAAACATCAGCAATTTGCTCTTGAAAATTTTCTTCAAACGAACTGAACTGATCATGAATTCGGCTTTCAAAAAGTATATGTGCATCAAAAAACAAGCTATCAGATTTATAAAGATTATAAATACAATGATTTAATTAAGTATGAAATATTAAATAATATCTACAAATTTGCATTAATTTAATCTGAATTTTAGAAGTATCGGTGTCTCAGTTAGGATTTCGTTGGCGGAAGGTAATCAGAAGAACTCTACGGACCGTAATCAAGAATACCGGAACTTATGTAAAGAATCTTTTATAAAGAGGTTGTTCAGTAGGCTTGCATTTTTTTAAAATACAATTTCAGCGGTCTTTTCTTGCGTTTTTATTTATGATCTTACGTTAAATTGTCTATTTTCATTCGTAGAAGTGTTTTATTGAAAGAATCCATAGTAATTGTACCGTAGTGATTCATTAAAAATCACTTTTTTGTAGGAGTTAAAAATTATTGCTCACAATGGTTCACTAAGGTAATCAATAAGATTAAGATGTAATGAGGTCAGTCACATTTCTTATCGAAGGTAAGTTAGTACGAATCACACTAGATTTGATCTTATAACTTCTGATGAGCAGAATCTTGATGATCTAAATTTAATGTGGTGGTAGAATAAATTTTATATTACTATTGGTTATAATCAATTCCATTATTCTATCAATAAATTATTAATTTAGGAACTATTGGAGTTTTGGAAATGTCGAAACTAGAAAAATTATATTTCAGGCTTATTTGAATATAAAAGTATGGATAGTGTTTTCCTTCCTCAGTTTGCTTCTTAATAACTGGATGTCATGGGTGATGCAGACAAAAAAGTAGCAAGAAGTTGAGTCGAAAGCAGTAAAGATATATTAGAAATTACTTTCAAACTTGATCTACATATCATGAGAAAGTGCCGAGTCGAATTACCTACTTATATTTTGAGTAGTTTTCAGTATGTTGATTTTGTTTGTTACTGTAATAATGAAGATTTGTGCAGTCATCCTGGTTTTTCTTAATTTCTAACATATAATACAGTTTCTGGTTGAGAGGTATTTTTCCTACTTTTTAGTCGAAATCCAAATTCTGATAAAATATATCATTTGAAACAGTATTTGAAATCGTTAGAATGCTTGCTTTTAATACTGTTGTTGGAATGTTTTCCAGATGCAAATTTAAACAATTACTTTTTAGGAATACAATACTGTGCACAAATATTACTTTTTCTTATTCAAACTGTGACAAAGAAATTTTCAACTGCTGGAGATTTTATACGTTAGACAAAAGGTATGAAAATGTCTAACGAATGAAAAGATCAGTTGTATACAATTTAAATTAATTGTTAAAATGTATAAATTATTTAACTTGATAGAAAATATGCATCTCAGTGAATGCAATTGTCGCGCAATTTTAGTTTTATTATAATAGCTTAGAAATCAAGTGCCTATTATAAAAAACCCAGTTATAAATAACTTTTCATTTAAAAAACTTTTTTTTTTTGAGACTTCACGTGTTCCCAGTGTATTGTCTTATCATAATATCAAAATCGTTAGCTTTCATTAAACTTACCTAATTGTTGATAAAGTTAATGTATTTCATTATATATCTAATCATATAATTTGCATACAAATCTCAAGAAAAATCGAAGAGCATAAAAATATGCTAATTTTAGCGAGCAAAATTCAGCGGTATTTGAATTGATTTCTTTCCTCATTCAACTTTTCCGTTTCTTATCGCCAATTTGTATCATTTGTTATGAAAAATTTTGCTGCGAACACAGTTGGAAGCAACCCATATTGTTGACTTAACAGGCTTTATTTTCCTGAAGACTCAATCATACTACCGCACACTTGTTCCTATTAATCTTATTTTGATTTTGTTTCTTCGTCCTCTGCACTCAGATGGACTAAAGTTTCTTCCTTTCTGAGATGGAGTGAAGTTTCAAAATGTTGCAAATCATGAAATTATTCGAAAAAAAATGAATTTTTAACCGACTTTAAGCTTTTGTCCATTTAAACTTTGTCTCTTTTCTGGTAAATTCTAATTTAACACTTAGTAATCATTATTATAAATAATTACATAAGGCCATGTTATATCTTTCTATTTTATCACTTGTTTTTAAGTTTCATTTAGGGAATTTTCTGCTAACTAAAGCAGTCTGACTCTTATGAACTATGTTGAGTGTGAAATCCATCGAAATTATACTCAACAATAGGTAATCTCTTCACTTTTATTAGGGAAGCTATCAAATAAAAGTTAAGGAATCAAGCTAAGACTGATTGCTTAGTTCCTTATTCAAGCCAATCTACGTCTTCAACATGTATCATAAATTTAGAATTCAACAGACAAGCACATTGTTTTAAAAATATTCAGATATGGCTGTTTGCATTCATTCAAGAGAGAAAGTGCTAAATATTTGCGGGAGAATGAATAACAAAACATTTTATATTAGACTTTTTCATATACCGCTGATATAAATACAGCAAATCTTAGTAATTGTTTGAGATTCTAATTAATTATTTAGTGAAAAATACGCTTTAAAAAGTTTTGTTTTTGCTAATAACGGTCACAAATTTGTTATAAAGAGAATACACTCACTATTCATAAACAGTATCGAAATAAACGAATACAGTATCGAAATTGAGACTATTTGCCGTGTAAATTTAGTGACCTTTACGACATCATGGAGTGATTATAGATTAATCAACGAACAAAGCTTATAACAAATTAGTAAATTTACTTTGATAAATACTTGACTAAACAAACTGTTTTTTTCAGCACCAACAATAATATGGAACAAATTATCGAGAAGAATGTTTCAAGGACAGAATCATTGAACCAATAATTGAAATATTTCACATTCATACTTAATAATCAAGTTAACGAGGGTGTAAGAATTAACAATACTCTTTCATCCTAAAACTTTAACTTGCACTTTCGTTTGCATAAAATGATTTGTAACAAAATATGCTGCAAACGAAATATGCTTGCTGATAATGAAGCTTATCAATCAGGAGAAATTTGCATAGCTTTTTGAGTAGGAAGGACAAGTTGTAGTCTCAGCAAAAGTTGACATTTTGTCGAACTTTGAAGTAAATCTTTCGAATTAACAACAACGTCGATTACATTTGCTAATGAAGAAGGCCGAGAAACATGAGCAACCACACCTGGCGTACTTAGTAGCTCAATAATACTATTATTTTGATTTTCTTCTGGCAAAGGTACACATCCAAAATCCCAATCATATTTTATTTTTTCCCGAGAATCGGTATTTGACAAATCTTGAAATGTATCAGAAAATAGCTCTGGATGTCGAATTTGTAAGGCCTGAAACCGGTTTATTCTGTAAGTTTTGGAAGCACTGAATCATATTATTTTTGTATCACTTTGCTTTTATATGTTTATAATTACAATGACAAATTATTTTGCCGTTTTATATTTCAAAAATACTTAACTAACTTTCAGATATAAATTTTAATGAAAGCTAACATTAATCAAGGTTATGACTCCATCGAATGTAAAATTAGCCTGAATATTACGGAAAAGAATCTTTCTCGGCAAATTCTCTTGAACTGCCCATCTATGTAAAGAACTGTCAGTAATTCTCGTAAAATAAACTGGAATAGTACTACTTAGAATGAGTTCTTCGCATTCTGGCATTGCTTGTAGAACCTTCAAAAAAAAATTAAAAATCTTGACTTGATTAAATGAGAATGTCTTCCGTATCACTTCTAATAACAAATATTTCCGTCAATACATCAATATGTTATTACCAATACTCTAACTTAAAATTCTGTAAGACAATTTTCGATTTAAAATCAGTTTAGTAGTTTTCATTGTAATCAAAGATTCGTCTTTTAACTCAAAATTTTACTGGTTAAAATTTTTCAGTTTTTATTTAATAATAATTCCTTTTAGCAATTTTACAAAAACTTTACATTTCAATATAGGAATATTATTAATCTTACCAAATCATCTAAAACAAATTGCTCAAAATGCGAAAGTTCTATTGTTAATTTTCGGCAACGTGTACGAGTTAACAATTCGTAAAAATATTTTGAAGATAAACGAAAACGGCATAATGTGAATACTAATCGTGTGGCATCCCTGTAATGCCCCAAATAATTTATATTGAAATAGAAATTAATTTTTGAAAATTATTAAGAAAAAGTTCATCGAAATTCAAAGTTAGAATGAAAACTAGAAGATTTGTGAATTTCAAATTCCAATGAGAAATTTAGTCAGTAATTGAAAAAAAAGTAAAGAATTTTTCAAATATTCGGAAATATACAAAATTGTATGTGTATAGCAAATAAATCACCCATAATAAAAAATAATATTTATTTAATATGCACCAAATTTATTTAAAAATTTCTATCTTATAAGCATTCCACTTTAATTCATTTTTGAAAATACTTTTTATCAAAAAATGATATGTTTATTCACAAATACATGCGATTGTCAAATAATAAAGTATTGCTATTTACTGAGTTCAAAATAATTACAATTTTTATGTCACACAAAGTAATGAATAACAGCATAAACTTACGTGATTCTAACCCAGCTTTTGCATAATATCTTGTATAAATTTGAATTGAGAGCTATTCCCGAAAATGATAATGTACCATTAATGTAAACAGTTTTAAAATGTTGATCCAAATAATTCAACAGAGATTGTGATAATTCATTGCGGTCTTTAAATTAAAAATCACATTCAGAATTATACTTATGCAAAATCCGTTAGCTTTTTTCATATTTTTAATGGCAAAAATAATTTCTTATATTCATACCAACTCAAAAAGTACCTGAAAATTAACGAAAAGTTTGGAAGTAAAAAATGCTTGAATGCGGCTAGAATTATAGACTATTTTTTGATAATTTTTTTAATTCTAGAAATGATGAATCATATGAGAATTATTTACCACCGGTGAAGTCTTCATCTTCAAATACTTCCTTGCATTTCACAGCAGTTTTTGTTTTTCTTACAAATCTCACTAATAATCGCCTTCTTCTACTTGGTTTCAAAATGGATGATGATCCTTGGAGTCGTCCAAACGGTTTTGTACGTTTCTCACAACTACACATACTAATCCTTAACAATAGTAAATTTATAATTCATCTATACTTAATATAAAATTAAGCTAATAATCTAACTACTTCTTTAGCTTGCAAATTACAGTAAACATTACTGAAGTTTGTGAAGAAAAGAAACTTTCTGAAAGTTAATTGGCTGAAAATTAGAACTTAAATAGTTAGTCAAAAAAAATAAAATTGTAAAATTAAATGTATTAATTAGTATGTAATACAGATTTGCATTCATTTGAATAATTTAAGAATTATATTGTATTAAAAATGCAATAGGAAAATTTCTAGCACAAAATTCAATTTCAAAAAATGGACAAAAGTTTTTGAATAAGTTTTGTGATTATTTTGTTTAAAAATTCTGGTCTTACCCCATTTCTATTATTTCCGGTCGAGATAATAAATGTGAATTTCGTATGATTAATTTATGGAAATGCTTGTTAACGCGCTGAGCTTGTAATACTTCTGAATGATTAAGATATGCAAATATCTGATGAACAACAGACTCAGGAAAAGTCATTAATTGCGTTACTGTTGGCAAAACTTTAGTTCCATTAGAACTGTTTATCTTTTCGCAGTCCATAGATGTAGAAGGGATAATTTCCTGTACTTCAGAATTCATCTGAAATTATTTATTTGCACAATTTTTAATACTGAAAATATAAAGAGTTTTTTACTCATGCAAACATATTCATATCATAAATTATAAAAATTATAAAAATTTGCTTTAAATGTATTTTAGGTAAAAATTTTTATATTTTGTAGGCAATAATTAATTTAAAAATGAATTATATCAATCACTGCAAACATTGATTGAGTAAGAAGATATTTGTTTATTTCCTGAAATTAAAATTAAACAGATTTATAGTTATTTCCAAAGTAAATCTAACAATGTATTCTTGTCCAATTAAATAGATTATTTATATTTCTATTTATTCAAATATTTGTCAAAAAATGACAATTAGACAAATACATGTATAAATGAAATAAAAGTAATAATTTGATGATAAATGGGTGAACCACGTAGAAAAGAGCAGATGTTATTTAGGTAGTTGTGAAGAAGCATAAAGACTGAAGGCGTATTTAGGTGCAAATTAGGCGATGGATTGGAATGAAGAGCGAGATTAGCACGAACTAGAAGCTAGATAGACCCTTAAAGATGCAAATGAAGTTGTTAAGTCAAGAAATGACCCGGAAATGTGCTCAATCAAAGCAAACTACACAACTTGTTCACTCAAGAATTGTTTTCAACGCAAGCGCAAAAATAAAAGGATTAAGCATTATGATTTAGAAAATTAGGTCTACTGTGAAAAATATTGCAGAAATTATTATCGTTAAATCACATCATGGCATATTTTAATAATTCTATTAGTCAAAATTTTAAAGCAAATAATAAAATTTAATCTTGCACAAAAAAGTTTGTATTCGAAAGATTTTTAAATTTAGTACAATAAAATTGGAAATCATTGCTCGCACGCTTGTTAATTAACGTCAAGTAATCCGCATGGACAAATGAGAGAATAAAAGGATTAAGCATTATAACTGCAGCTGTATGGAAATAGAAGAGAGATAAAAAAGAAATGATTAAAATTTAAGAAGCATTTGAGATTCGTTGTGTTCAGCACGAATATACTTAGATGAATTGCAGTTTAGATCAAAGTTGTAAAAAATCAGTTCAGTCAGCTAGAAATGCTTGCAGTCGTTAGTAATCTTTAAAATTATTCTCTGATATTAATATGGAGAAATATGAAAGCTTCGAAAAAATAATCTTTAATTTAGAAATCAAAAAATTTCTCTACTTCCAATTGTAATGTTTGTCATACAAAATTTTTCAAGATTTATAACTGCCAGATCTGACGAAAATTATTGCTCAGATATGAAAATAAAAAACCAATTACCAAAACTTGCGTAACATCAGTAATTTTCAAAAACTATAAAAGCAAACTGCTTCGATAAAGTTTATCGCCAAATAAAAGTTAACCATTAGTATTGCTTTCACATGGATCATAACAAAAAATATTTCAATTATTGGTCAGTGATAAGTTAAAAAGTAATTGAAAATTATAGCAAAGACGTTAGAGAGAATGATGATTTTCTGCAATCATTTTCTGAAATTTCATCAATAATAAAGTTGCGAAAAGAATGAAATTTTAAGAAATAATAACTTCTAAGAGATAAAAAAAATGACAATCTTAGAGATTGTCAGCTTTGTATTAAACTGAAGAATGGCAAAAGTATAGCCATCAATCTCCATCAACGTAAAGACTGAATCAGTTTAAGTAAATGCAAACGTGAAACTATGTTTGGGAGATTTTTATAAAGTTAGAGAAAATGAGACCTTCGCTATAGCACAGTGACCAACAAGTCAAGTTAGGTTAAGTCAAGTCGGATGCACTACATTGCAATATATTTAGATTTAAAAAGAATTTAATAGAATGAATGATCATTTCAATAAGGTATGTTAGTCATTAGATTTCAAGCAACAATATTTCATTTTTTTTACAAGCACCAAAAATCATAAATTTATAGAAATTGCTGAAGTTAAATCAAAAATTCTCTGGATAGAAAAGACAGAGCATCAAAAGCATTGAATGACAATACTAACTAATGGAGTAATAATGATAATAATGAATCAAACAATATTTCATGTGTTTTGTGAACTTTAATAATTACATTTTAGAAACGAAAAAATGAAATAATTACAATGACTTAGTATAAAAAGGAAGAGAAGCGTAAAAACGTGAAAATAATTTAGTATATTGAAGAAAAAACGTGAAAATTAGATAGCAAAAAAGAGTAAAAATGTGATAATTAAAAAGGATAAAATGAAAGTATTTTTAACAAGATAATTTTATAAATTATAATGATAATAATACAAAGTAAAAGCTAGCACCTTTCATTACATTCATTTTAGCTAATGCAAATGTCAGTCAAAGTTTGACAGTTTTGAAAGTCATACGTCAATTACAGCCAACCGAAGCAACAGCCTAAGTTGATGTGATGAAGGAAGCAAGCGATAGATGGATAAATGAATAGATGGATAGGTGGATAGATGGATAAAATAGATGGAGATGATGTGCTGAATAATCCACAACAATAAAGTGTCAAAAACAAATCCTTTCTACTTGTAACTCACATCATTTTTAGTAATATTTAAAATTATCGTTTGCCGGACATATTAATTAACTTCTACTTTAATCAGTCACATCTTTTCTTGCACATCTATAATGTTACTATTTTTTACCGAATTAATAAATTCATACATTTTATGCATGATTTTTGTATGAAGTACTAAAAAATCTAATTAATTAAAATGAAAATTATAGATTAATTGATATTGCAATTAATAACATTCATTTTATACTGATTCATATTGCAACTATATAGTGTAATAAACTGAAGCAGTCATGACATCATAACAAAATTTATTATACTCTCTGTACATAATACATCAAATTAAACCAATTTTAAATATTCAATTCAAATGCAAATCATGCATGAATAAAACTTATTAGTGACAGTGCATGATGAGTCATGACAATGCAGTTAGAAGAATTAAATCGCTTCATATATGTGCTAAATTAGTACAGAAATGAATAATTTCAAATAAAATATGGAATAATTAATTAATGATCATAGTTACATCACACATCTGCAATTAGTTATTGGCTTTATTAACTTTAAATATTTAAAGTTAAAACTATTTTTGGAAACAATAGTCGTTTCAAAAAAAAGAAACAGGAAGAGAGGGAAAATGATGACAAATCGTGGAGAAATGATTAAAAATAAAATGAATAACACTAACTGAAAAGATTATCTACAAACCAATAAATTTTTGATTTTTAAGTTAATTCGCGACTTATATCGCATTGAGAAATATACAACTTTTTTTCAATAATTTTAAATGCACAATGAAGTAAATTAATAAAATAAACCGATTGGTTCATTTATTATATAATATAAATTAAAACGAGAAATGAAAATAATTTTCTAAAGCAAACTTCGAAGATTAAAAATAAATCTTCTATAGAAATAATAAATAAGCAGGTGGATAGATAAATAGGTAAGCAATTAAATAATACCAAGCACATATGAGAAGAAATAGGAAAAATAAATTACGTGAATAATAACGTTGTTTTCTTTATTAAAATTAGTTGATGATGTCCGCAAGTAAGATAATTTCAAAATTACTTTTATTGCGTGGATAAACGTGCTGTCAAAATAAAGTCGTCCCATGTAGTGACAGTAACACTTAATTAAGTGTTACAGTTACTTATCTACCTATCTTTATGAGTATAAGAATAAAAATTTCTTTTTACAAAATAAAATATTATCATATTTCATGACAAAGCATTACTTTCAGCTTAAAAGTAGTTAACAATCAGCACATCAAATATGTCAGCCAGCCTTTTTTGCTTCAAAGCTATGCAAATAATATAAATCATTTTATAATTAATAAAAAACTGAAAGTGATTTTCACTTTCAACTCTACCTTTTTTTCTAATTATAATAAACTAGTTTTTAAATAAGTCAAAATAATGTATTTACAAAAGTGACTTAAAAGAAAAAAATCAAAGTAAGCTGGTACAACTTATCAGTACTTTCGTAAATATATTATTTTGACTTTTGTCTTCATTTATTTAAAAAATAGATCAGTAAAAGGAATTGCAAGAAGAAGATCTACGTGTAAAAGGCGCAAATAAATGAGTGCAAAATTGTAAACTAAATTTTAAGTTAGCTTATAGCTATTCAGTACTTTTCTAAAATATGTTTGTTAATAAATAAATATACATTAAAAGTGTTAAGTTAGAAAAGGAATAAAAAATAAGAGAAAAGTGATTGCGGCACTTTTTAACTTTTGAAATAATCATAAGAGCAGTGGCATAAATAATGATTGAAATAGTATTTATTCTTCAATTTTATTGTATTTAATTTTTTCTTCAGCAGTAAATAGAAAAAAAAAAGAAGTAATTTCTAAGCGAATATAAAGTAATCTACCACTTTCTAACAGTAATGACTTTAATCAATTACCATTGTAAAAGTAATAATGATAGTTGTTAATAATCATGATAATTGCATTGATAATGATATTAGTGATAAAAGTGATAAGTGTAATCAGAGCATTTTTAGTTTCAAAATGAATGAGAATAGAAAAGCAATAAAACAATACAGAGCGGTAAACATCAAAGGTTATAGTTTTAAAATGAAAGACAAAAACGAGAAGTTTTCTTACTTATTTATTATCACAAATGGATAAACGAGAAGTGATTTCGTAATGAAAGAAAAAATAAAATAACAAAAGGTAAAAGGATAATAAAGTGAGCAAAAAAGTGAAAAAAAATCATGAATATATTGGGATAACCTCTCATTTCCCGCATATACCGTATGAAAGGTCAAGTAATAAAAAGCATGTTTTAAATATTTTTAATAAATAGCAATAATTATTTTTGCATATTTACAGTTTTGATACTCACTATTTTTGTATATTTTAAAGCTTTGATATTCAATTTTGAGAAGAAACAAGCAATAATATAATATTTATATAAAATCTTCAATATATGCAAAAATAAAAAATCATATTGTAATGCTGAAGTTTGATAACAAATAACAAAAACAATACAA